TTTCCTTTTTTTCTTGGAAGGAAAGTCAGCTGGCTGTAAAGACTTTATAAAAATGTCATGGAGAAGGCCACTGGACGTAGGCCACTCTTCAGACCACAGGGGTCTCTTCTGCAGTGTTTCTGATTTGTATGTCTCTAGACATGCAAGTTCTGTATGTGTCAGTCTGTTTTTGTCACTACAGTGAAATGCTATAGGAATACATGAGTATTGCAGTGAAGTACTAGGATGAAATACACCGTGGGCCCTTGGCAAAGCTGATGGTGAACAGTGACGTAAGAAGGAAAGATCACGTCTTGAAATAGGAAACCAGAGAGTAACTCAGGTTCAGTACTGACTTCTCGGAGAGCTCAGGGGTCTCAAGCTCTCTTTTGAGGACACACTCACAAATGGATCTGAGGCCCTCTCACTAGGCCCTGCCTTAAAATTTCCGTCACCTCCTGTGCTACTGCACTGGATACCAAGCTCCCAACACACGAATCTTTGGAGTTTGCACCCAGAGTGTATCAGCCCGTAGTAGGTGTCATTTCAAATGAGATCGAGACTGCAGTTTTAACATTTTGGGCCACATGGGAATTTTGAGATGCCAGGATTGTCTCTGGCCAATTTATAGTAAGTCCAGTTCTGTCCTAGGTCAATAGGCCTCTCAGGATTTGAATCTGGCATTGAAAAACAGGATAACTTTTGGACCCCCTAATGTATTCATGTGAGGTGTGGGGAATCTGTATCAGTGTCACCTCAAGTTCACTCCCCAGACGTTTCTAATCCATCTCTAGATGGCTCTGTTGCTCTGGTACTTGCTAATCACTAGTATGTGCTAAGGGACATTTGTGAATTCTCTGGAGGAGCCCCGTAGCTCTTGAGATTCTCCCCTCAAATACATGACTATTTCTGCTGACCTTCATTTCTTTAGTATGCAAAAAATCCGTTCCTGGTAGAGCTGAAAAAGGGCGTTCATATCTGCCTTTTAGCCTGCTTACTCCAGGTCCCTCCTGCCACCACACAGGCTTGTCTTCTTGTGGTATGGAAATTTCAACTGTGTCGTAATATGTTATCTTCCTTTTTGGTGGCTTCAGAATTTGCACTCTATGGTTTCCCATCCCTTCTGCCTGGTGCTAGGTATGTGAAATTCAATTTTGGAATTTGTTTTGGGAACCATTTTGTTTCTGAGTAGAGCATTTCATTTCTGAAAATGAAAAGCACCTTCCTTTTGATTCTTTTTTTGCTAAAGAAAATTTTAAAAGTTATTCTACTTGAAATCTCAAAACTGAGCAAATATTTCTTTGTTCAAGCCTGGATTTTACTTATTCCCATCATAGTGCATATTATTGATCTGGTAGGTAAGGGAGCCTTGGGAAATTAAGCCATGAAAATATGTTAATGTAACAGCCAAAAGTACTACCTTTCCTTTGCCTAGTGACTGTAGGGATCCAGGCATGATGTCATCTGGACCTGATGTTGGAAGTAATAATGAAACTGAAGAGGTTTAGTCAAATTTGATGGATCTTATTGTGTATTAATGGGTGGTTGAATATCGGTTGTGAAAAGACAAACTTTTATCCAAATAATTAGAGAAGTTTCTCAACTTGGTAAAGAATATCTACAAAAGCCTTATAGTTAATATCATGCTTGGTTGTGGAAAATTAGTGCTTTTCCCCTAACAGCATGAAAAAAGCAAGGATGCTCTGTTAAACCACTGCTGTTCAACATTGTATTAGAAGTCCCAGGAAATGCAGTAAGATAGATAAAACAAATACATACAGATTGGAAAGGAAATATAGAACTTTTTTTTAAGACAGGGTCTCACAGTGTAGTTCAGGCTGGCCTTGAACTCACTGTGGAGCCCATGCTGGTCTCAAATTCATGGTGATCCTCCTGTCTCAGCCTCCTGAGGTGAGATATGCTACTATACCTGGCTGGTTTTTGTTGACATATGAGTTGATTGAGAATGTAGAAAATCTGAGTCAACAGGAAACTTTAGAACTAATAAGTGACTCTAGCAAGGCTGCAATACACAGGTTAATGTAGAAATTCAGTTGCTTTTTCTATGGACTAACAATGAACAACTGGCATTTCAAGTTAAAAACACAAGCAAAATAAACCAGACACTTGTTTAAATATTGTATGGTTTCATATGAGAAACCCAAAATATAAACAAAGAGCAAAATAAAAGATAGATAATAGGAAGTAGAGACATAAGATCTTTCCCAAATGGGAGGAGGAACAAGAGATTGGGGGGTAGGGAGGAATGGGAGGGAAACAGGATGAAAAAAGGAATTAATATGTGTTATGTACACATAATGTAAATATTATCTATTGTAAGAATACACTAATAACAATAAAATAACCGCCCTGAAGCAGAAGAAAACAAGCCAGTGACTTTAGTACAGAAAGGATAAGAATCTAATGAAATAGGGTTAGATATATAGAAAACTATCCAACTAGGTTAAGAAATGAAAGAAAATCTAAGTAGGTGGACCATGTTCATGGATTAGGATACTCAACTGTTTTTGCTTTTAGTCTTGAAAACTGTCATGGTCATTAAAAGGAGCATCTGAGAAAACTTCATAGGCAAGGGCAGCCTGAGGGCCATGATTAATACTATAATGTGGCATCATGGACAGGATCCTGACAGAAAAGGAGCACTAGGTAAAAAATAGGGAATATGCATAAAGTAGTAGTTAATACAAATGTATGAATTGGTTCACTAACTGTAACAAGTATATTACACTAGTGCAAGATATTAATAGTTGGAGAAAGTGGGTGTGGATATATAAAAACTTGGTGCCATCTTCTCAATTTACCTGAAAATCCCAAATTGTTTAGAAACTCAAATCTGAAAGGGAGCTCTAGGACTATATGCATGAGAAGTGGGAAAGTTGAGGTTCTCCACCCCTTTGTAGTTATTAGAAAACCAGGTAAATGATGATTTTCTTTCTGGAGAGGTGTCGGGAGCATGTAGGTCATGCTCATGAAGACAGTTTGAGATCTGTCCATAAAATCCTTCAGTGTCTCACATGGTCTAAGGTCAAGCCACTCCCTGTGTTGCGTACAAACTAAGCCTGTTTGTGCTCTCCTTCCTCTCTCTGTCTTCAACAATGTCAAGGAGCTTGTTTATCTACACACCAGCGCTTAGTTACCTTCTTCCTCGCTGGGACAAAATACCTGACACTCGCGACTTGAAGGATGTAAAGGTTATTTTGGCGCACGGTTTCTAGAGGTTTCACTCCAGAGTCCTGTGGCTCCAAGGTGGGGAGGACATGGCAGAGGACTTGGAGAGCTGAGGGCAAGCACAGTGCACTAAAGGAGGAGCTAGAAAGGGATGTAACCGCTTCCAGGCCACGCTCCCAGAGACCCACCTCTTTAGACCAGATCCCCCCTCCTAACAGCAGCCCAGCTATAAACGTACAACATTCAGTCACCTTCCAAGAGCCCTGCCTGTGAGTGCATGAGTGTCTAGGATGACATTCCAATGTAAATCATGACAACCAGCCTGCCTGCTGCCTCTATGCCTTTATTTACGCATTCTGCTGCCTGAAATTTCCTGCCTCCAGCCTCAGTCTGTCCTCCTCTATTCAGTTTGGTGTCATTGAGCCCTTACTTCACCTCCTCCAGGAAGCCCTTTCCCATTCTCCTAGATTTGGTGCCTTTGTTTCTATATTCTCCAAGCTCTGGGAACCCATAGTTATTGTATTGCACTTGTATTTTTATTACATGTACGTGTATATGTTATTCTCTGTGTTGACCATGAACAAATCAAGGCCAGAGTCTTAGCTGTAGCCATAACAAGAACAGAAGATCGAGAGTATTCATATTTACAAAAGAAAGAGGAGTGAGGGAAGACCGTTATAACAAACTCATGTTTGACGTGAAGACAGAGTATAGTTTGCTGTTACAAATAAGACTTTCTAAAGAAAATTTTAATCCTCATAAAACTCATTTTCCCGAAATTTGAAATCCTATAAGAAAACTTTAAAAGCAATGAGTAGTAAAATGTTTTCCAATGTTGGATTACAAATGCCTTAAGAAAGGAAGACATGATTATAATGATCTGAAGGTTATAGAGATTACTGTTGGGCTCCTAATTCTTGAATGTTTTGGTACACATTCTTTGAGTAGGTCACTTGTATTTCTATTTATATTTATGAACAGTCAGTCAGAAAAATGCAGAATAATATAGAACATGTTTTATAATTAAATTTAAGTATAAATAGATGTAATAAAACTGCTCTTTTTTCTATAATTTTAGAGCATAGTTATGTGCTACATTTTTGTCAGTGTCAGACTGCATATGTGGTGGTGGTACCATAAGATTATGTTACTGATTTATGAACTTACTGTACTTTTTATTGTTACTTTAGAGTTAGTCTTTAAAATATTTACTATAAAACAGAATGAGGTATTATACTATCTTACATTTACTATGTCTATTGACTGCATCATTTTTCTTGCACTTGATTTAATTTTATGTTGCTTTGTTTGGCCCTATGAGCAGTAGGCTCACAAGACACACACACACACACACACACACACACACACACACATCCTAGGTGTGTAGTTTCCTATACATGTAGGTTTGTGTGGATGCATTCTATGATGTTTGAATACTGACCAAATAATCTACTGATACATTTTTCAGAACATACTCCCACCATCATGAAAAGCATGACTGTATTTCTAAGAGGAGCAATTCACATGTTAATGCTGTAGGTTCACTTACACTGGTGAGAAATGCTGAAATGAAATATAGCATATTCATACATTTTAGTTGAAGCTCCTTTGTATTTCAGTGTACTTTGTTCAAAGGGTATGACCTAGACTCAGCCTAAACTATGATCTGTGCTTTTGCACATTATGGAATAGGATGTAGGCTTTGCAAAAATATTCTGTGTATACAAGATGATTTGAAAATGAAGTAAAATTATGTTCTAGTGAAGAGAGTGGTTTTAATTATGCCCTTCAGTGTTGCTGTCATTTATGAAATAATGCTGAATTGATTTTAGGGTACTGGAGATACTGACTGTCACTTTAAAATTAAGAAGAACTTGGAAAATGCATCTGTAAGCCTGGAATCAGTGAAGAGCCCTGGGTTGTTTGTTGGACTTCAACCAGATGGACAGGCAAAGCCAGTCATTTACACCAAGAATGAGAATGTTTACTTCTATCCACAAGTCATTCAGTGTACGTTTACTCTGATCGTTTGAATTTTGCTTGCTTTATGATGGTTTGTGTACAGTGACTGATAATTTCATTATTTTACTAAGAGAAATCTCTGTTAGCCTTTTTGTTAGTAATAATTCTAGAAATAGTAGAAGAAAAGCATAATTGAGACCTGGCTCAACTTCAACTAATGTTAGGAATAGAGTTTTGCCACTTTGACCTCCTTTATAATTTTTAAAATTGTCTGAGCATTCACATATGTGTGTCTATTTGAATTTGTTATTTAAGGATATTTTCATATATACTGAGAAAGAATGAGGTTTGAAATTTGGCTTACAGATATTTTATATATA